AACGAAAAAGCAAGCTGCCAGGTCTGGGACTCAAACTGTGGTCGACCATGTGGGAGTCCAGTGCCTTAACCACCACACCACCTGCTGGCACCCATTGGTTCTTTATCATCAATGAACTGGGCCCACCTCATTTCTTCCAGTCCTGGTAACCCCGTATAGACAGAAGGAAATTTCATTTCTTTGTGTTTGGTTTAAATTATTTTTAAGTTAAAAAAAAAAAAAAAAAAAAGGCAGAGAGAGAAAGAAAGAGAGACCCCAGCAAGATCTTTTTTTTTGGAGAGGTTTTCGCTATAGGGCGCGTGCACTCGCCAGACACAGACAGAGAGAGACAGAGAGACAGAAAGCGAGAAATCACCCCCCAGGGGGGATGGCCACGCTGCAATCCCTTTTCCTCCATTCTCCTCTCGGGATCTTGGGCACGCACGCACACGCGCCCGGCGTGAGTTTTAAGCCACTGGGTCGGGGACATGAACCGCGGTTGACTACGTGGGAGTCCAGCGACATAGCCATTTCACTAACTGCTGGTTCCCACCCCAGCAAGATCTTTATGCTGCGGTCTACCTCCAGCCTTAGCCAGCCAGGATCACGGGCACATACACACTCCAGCTTTTACAGGGAGACCAGGATGCAAACCTGGGGCCTTCCCCTGTGGTTTCAGCATTGTGGAATATTGTGTTATTGCTGTATCACTGAGGCTGGCCTGCGTCCATTTTATAAAAAATAATTATTTAAGGGACCAGCAGGTGGCATGGTGGTTAAGGTGCTGGACACTCCCACATGGCTCACCATGGTTCAAGTCCTGGACCTGGTGCCTTGCTTTCTCACCTCCCCTCTTTCTCTCTGTCTCTGTCTCTCTGTGTCAAATTAAAAATAAATAAATAAATAAAATTAAAAAAAATAATTATTTAATTTTATTTATTCATTCATTTTTTAAAAATTTGATCACAGAGAGACAGAGAGAGAAAGTGAGAAAGCAAGACACCAGGTCTGGGACTTGAACCATGGTCAGCCACGTGGTAGTGTCCAGCGCCTCAACCATCACGCCACCTGCTGGTCCCCCCTGCATCCATTTTTAAAAAATAATTATTTAATTTTATTTATCATTATTTAGTTTGCTATAGAGCACGTGCACACATAGAGAGAGAAGGAAAAGAGAGAGGGAAAGTGAGAAAGCAAACTACCGTGTCCAGGACGCGAACTGCAATCAGCCATGTGGGAGTTCAGTGCTTTAACCACCATGCCACCTGTTGGTCCCTGGCCTGCATCCATGTTTTAAATGAATTGGGATACTTTGGTTGGGACATGCTGGGGTCTTCTGGAAAAGCCTCAAATGCCCAGATTCTGCCTCCTGTCCAAAGGGACAGCCTCTCCCATTTCTGGTGCTCGCTCCTGCTCTCTCCTCAGTGTTGCAGGATGTCCCTGGCTCTGGAGTGGGGCAGTGGGCCAGAGAGACCCATAGGGAGCCTGTGGGATCACCTCCAAGTGCCTCTCAGGCCAGGCAGGGGAGGCCCCACACCTTCCCTCTAGCACCACCTTCCTCCCCTCAGTAGGAGGCTCCCAGTACACTCCTATTTTGGTGGTCAATCCCTCTCTTTTCTCCATTCCTTCCTGTCTTCTTCTTTTTTAAGAATTATTTATTTATTTATTTATTTATTTATTTATTTGACCAGAGAGGAACAGAGTGAGAGAGAGATCTGGGATTTGAAGTGCAGACTACCATGTGAGAGTCCAGTGCCCTTAACCACCATGCTGCTGCCGGCCCCACTTTTTCTTTCTACTTCTTTTCTGGGGCTCTCTTTTCCACTCTTTCCCCACTTCAGCTGGGCATTTGGAGGTGACGTTCAAAGCTCAGTAAAGCCTAGAGGTTAGAGCTTCAGGGAAGGTATAGAATGAGGAAGTGCCCACAGCAGGGGGTGTGGGGGAAGAGGCCTCCAGTGGGCCAGGCAGGTAGGGTCTTGGGAGCGTTGCCCACCACCCTCCCTACGCTGCCCTCCTGGGCTTTAGCAGCCTCAGCTGTAGCTCTGAGCTCCTTAATCTGTTGATCAGTGTGGTGCTGGGGGACAGGCTGGCAGAGGCTTTAGGAGGTGACAGGAGATCTTGGGAGTTGCACTCTGCTAATGGAGCGGCACACAAAGCTGAGGAATCTCATTCCAAACGCGGCTCCCAGTCCTGAGGCAGTGGCCTGGCTGGGCTGGACCCTGCATGGGCGGTACCCAGTGGAGGGCTGGGGCATGGGCTCTGCACGCAGTCGGGCATCACCTTGCTCTTTGTTCCTCAGGAGGAAAGTTCCCAAGATTAAGGCTTTCCAACCCTTTCTGCATGGCTAAGGTTTTATTGTTTGGTAACTGCTCCCACTTGCACCCAAGCCCCTAAATCCTCTGGCTGCCAGTCCCAGTGAGAAGTCTCTGTATGTAATGAATATCTGAAATATTCATTCCCCTAGTCAGCCAGGAAAATGCCAGCAGGGCTGGTCAGGGGTGGGGATCTGTCCTAGAACCAACCAAGGACACTGGACGTCATGCCTCCCTGTTAGACTGAGTGGCCCCAAGGGAACCTGGGGAGTTGGGAAATTGAGGCAGGATGCTAACTGCAAGCTCGAGTGCATCCCAGCATTCTGGCCCAGCATGATGGGGCAGCCCAGCCTAATCTTGGCTGGACAGAAGGGACAGAGCAGGAGGTGCAGTGGGCGGAGGCCCAGCCTAAGGTTCTGCTTCCGGCATTACTGTGCCCTAGTAGAATGGTAATAATAATCCCTACCTGAGAAGTGGCTGTGAGGACTGCTGGGTACATGGAAAACAGAGGATGGGGCTGATTTTCCTTCTCCTTTTTCCTTAGGTATGGGCCAAACATAAAGGAGTTGAACTTCTCATGGGTGTTATTATTAGCATTTTTTTTTAGAGTGATTTTTGCTATAGGGTGCATACTCACTAGAGAGACAGAGAGAAAGTGAGAAATCACCCCCCCGGGGGGGGAGGGGATGGCCACACTGCCATCCCTCCCTCATTCTCCTTTTGGGACTCCGGGCATGCACGCACACGTGCCCAGTGTTGTTTTAAGCTGTCGGATCTGGGACTTGAACCGCAGTCAACTACATGGGACTCCAGCGACATAACTATTACACCATCTGCTGGTCTCTCTCATGGGTATTGAATGGATGGGGCAGTGGTGACTTGGGACTGGTTCGGCCCCCGGCACCAACCAATTAGAATGGCAGCTAGCCCAAACCATCAGCCCAGGGAAGAAGACACAGCTGGGCTGAAATACGCGCATTTGTCTCACTGTTCTGTCAGGTGACTGTTCATCACTGAGCACACTGACCTCCCTGGAGGGCAGTTCCTGTCAGCCACAGCCGGGGGACCCCACCATCTCCTCTGCATTCTGAGCAGGTCAGGCCTGCCTGGCATGGGGCACCCTGCCCAACCAGGATGAGGGCAGTGAAATGAGGTCCTTCCCAGGCTGTAGACCTGCCATCAGGCCCTATGGGGATGAATGAGCTCTTCTCAAGGATCTTGCTTCCTCGTCTCCCCTGGAGCTGCCCCCCAACTTCCTGTCTCTCCTTCTCAAAAGCAGGATTAGGGGTCTGCCCATGACCTGACCCACTTCCTCATGTCTGTTTCTTCATCAGCTGGGTGGAGCACATGGTTACTGCTGTCTAGCCATGGAGGATGGGAGTGCAGCGCTGGGGTTGAGCCATGTTCTGTCATTGAGGAAAGCCTCTGGTCTTAAGGCAGCATCTGCCCCCAGCTTCAGACTTCCAGAGGTCACCCTGGACACATGGTCCCTTTGCCAACAGTGGCCTCCTTTACCTGGCTTTTCTCTCTGTCTCGTGGAGTGAAATCCCTGCCTTTGAGGGCCCAAGGTGACCTAGTAAAGTGATAAGAGTCTAGGAAGAGACAAGGCCACCTTGCCGGAAGTCAGAGGCTTGGACTTCAGCTCACCTTCCTACTGGTGCTGTCGGGAAAGTCACTTCCCTTCCTGGACCTGGAAAAGGACGCTGGATAAGATGGTGCCTGAGTTCTATTTCAGCCCTACATTTTATAATTGGGAAATTCTTCCTGCTTTTTCTATTGTTTTACCTGCTGATGACCCAGGCCCCCAACCTCCTGGCTCACAGGAAACCCCACCAACCAGTTGTGTCTCTTTCAAACTGCCCTGGGAGGCAGGGCAGTGTCACCCAGAGGCTACAGAAATGTAAACCCACCTCACTACTGACAAGCCCTGCCCTGGAGCAAGTCTTGGGCTGGAGAGTGAGCCTCTTAGCTAGGGATGCCCCCAGCCTCTGGTCCAGAGTCCTTGGCTTTTCCCTTAGATCCATCTGCTCTGAACCGTGTGTATCCAACCAGGGGGGTTAGGGGGTGGACAGTGAGTCTGCATTGTTCTCCTTGGGGCTTGGCCCATCCTACTTCCTTGGGCTAGGGCATTTGGACTCAAAAGCTCTAAGCCCTGAGAAGCAGTCCATGTGGGAAACACTACTTCCTGGCACCTAGGCTCTCTCTCTGGCCCTCCCAGATCTCACCACAGCTGATAGAGTGCAGCCATGGAGTCACATCGACATGGGCTCAGATCCTGGCGTGACTGGTGTGACCCTGGGCCAGCCCCTTCCCCTCTCTCAGCCTCTCTGTTTTCTTATTTCTAAACTGAGAATAATCATACCTTTCTCATAAAGTTGCAGTGAGATATAGAAATGATACAGGTAGAGTACCTTGAAACCACACAGTTGTTCTTTTACTTCCTGGCTCTGGCTGAACCCTGAGGCTCTGCAGACCACAGACACAACCCCTTTGACTATACAGACCTCTTGCTTTTGAGCTTCAGGACTGCCCTGCTTGGGAAGTTCTGAGACAACCTTGGACAAGCTCCTCCCCCCAGCCCACCACTCCTTTTCCCCCGGGGGAGCAGAAATACCTAGTTTCAGCCCTAATAATACCTGAATGAGATTTATAGGACACCTTCCTCCCTAGAGTGCAAAGCTTCTTACATATTATTTCTCTTATCTTTAGATTGTCCTGTGAAGTGATGTGTGATGGGACAGCCTCTTTTTGACTTTTATGAAAATGGAGACAGAGAGGAATTGTGGCACCTGCCAAGGTCACAGGATTGGAATCCAAAGCCACTCTGAAACATGAGAGAGCATCGGAAGGGGAAAAGAAAAGCAAGCAGGAAGGAAAGAAGCAGAAGCCACTGTCCTGAGGCTGCAGCCATCAGGGCTAGGATGCGCCAGGAGGACTGGGCAGTGCTGCCCACCTGAGACTTGGTGCTGTCCCTGTATCTCCTCTCCACCCTTTCTGCCCTTGTCACACCTCGTCAGGCCTGTTCTGGGTCTGAGGTGCCATGGAACACTCTGGCTAAACCTCTGGCCAAAGGAAGCTCTTCGCCACCCACACTCCCACCCTGAGGACCAGGGGAGCATGCACGGAAGTTGCCCAAGCCAGGCTCCAGCCTTCTAGGAGTTAACGACTCCCTCTTCCCAGCTGTCCTCCCCCTGGTGCTCCTCATCCTCCCTCCTCCTGCTCACAGCAGGCAAGGCCTGGACCCGGGAGCCATGCTGCTGTGCTGTTGCCAGGGGAGCCGGGAGGCAGATCCGAGCTATGCAGGGAAAAGGCCCAGCCTGTCAAAGTGTCTGAGATGAACCGCCGCCGTCCCTGTGCAGCTGGGCTCAGACGTGTCTCTGCTCTTGTTCTGTGCCTGAGAATGGCGAAGCCCAGTGAGGTTCAAGGGCAAACTTGCTATTCATTAGTCAGGGGTTCTTGACGTCCCCTCTCTACCAGGGATGGGTTTCCCCCCTTCCTCTTTCTGTCGCTCCTGTGACACATTCCTGGGTATCTTTGGTGAGGACTGCACACCCTCCTCCTGCCCAGCCCCCTCTCCAAAAGCCCCTGAATAAACTCCCCTTAAGGAGACTGGGCAGGGCAGAGACAATAGCTGCAGGAAATCATTCAGGCGGGACCCCAGCCATGCTGGCCCACTCTCTACTCCTAGTGCCCCTGTGGGCCCCAGTCCCCTCTGACATGGGGCACCCTTGGGCCACCGGCCTGCACAGGCCTGGACAGGAGGAAACCACTGGACACTGCCTTAAGGACTGCAGGCTTCAATGTTCTCAGTGGCTCTTCACTTGCCTCCCTGGCTTGCGTCTCACATTGGCTGTTTTTTTGTGCTTTTCTGTACCATCGTGTGTCTATTTTAAGACACTCACTCATTTGGGGAGTATACATTGTACAGTAATTTCTGAAATGTGGCAATATCAAATGGAAAAGGCACATATACTCGGTCACAGACAAATTGTACTACCAGAAATTAACTGCATGTATTTGTAAAAGTTCCCAAAGACCTATGTACATGAGTATCCATCAGAGCATTTATTTTTTAATATTAAAAAAAAATGGACAGGAACATCTGATCCACTCACACCGTGGAATACTATGCAGCTGTAAAAACTGATGTTTAGAGCTCTATGTGTAAGCTGAAGTGGAAGGATGGCCAATAAGTATTACTGGTTGAACTAAATAATGGAATAACAGGCAAAAAAGTAAGATCTTACTTGTGTACTTTAAAATCAGTCAGAAGCACGCTTATCTGTGGATGGCTTTTGGAAATATATATTGGAAGACTACCTTTGGGGAGTAAGAGGCTATTTAATGTAATAGGCTTAACTCCCACCAACCAGCTCTGGGTAGGAGCTCCAAGAGGGTAATGGAGATGTTGGAGGAAAAAGCATCCCCAAATTACTGGAGATTTCTGCCACTGGCCATTTTGAGCCTAATAATCACACTTCATCATGACTGCTATTATTCTTCGTCAAAAGCCTATAAAGTGCCAGGCTTAGTATCTTTGGGTCCTGCTAAGGTGGGTATCGTTGCTCCAATTTCACCCATTCAATCTGGAAAAGAGGTTGATTGGTTTGTCTGAGCCCCAGGGGCTGGGGTGGGACTGGTGTTGGCTTCCTGTTTCCTTCTGGGTAGTTTTTGCCACTCCACCCTCAAGGGCTGCCCGTTTTGGGGTGGAGACCCTTGGAGACCTGAGTCCACACCAGGCGTGGCGGTGGATCATGATAAGCGAGGAGGTGCCCCATGCCCTGTGGCCCAGGAGAGGTATCGCTGTGCTGGGGTGGGAAAGTGGGCTGTGAAAGGACCTGTAGCTATAAGCAGCATGTGTTCAGGAAGATGTTGCTGCACCTAATGCTGCCCCAGCTCCACTCCCCCCTTACCACACCCCATAAAGACAAAATGGTCTGGAAAGTGTCTCTGAGGGGCAACATGCCTCCTCGAGTGGGGAGACATGGGTAAGCCCCCCACACGTCAAGGTTGTAGCAGTCTGCAGAACTCTCTGTTGGGCCTTTTGTGGCTTGGGAAGACGATGGGCATCGAGGTACAGTCAAGCTGCCCAGAGGGGCTGGAAAACCCTCGGAGGTCCCTGGGGTCTTGGTAGCAGCTACAGGCACTCCACATTGGGTGTGCGGTCAATAGGTTGGGGAAGGGAACCAGGTAGAACAAGAGCAACCACCAACAGAATAAAACAGGTAGCCAGGTCACCTGTTTTAACAGTGATTCAATTTTATGCCTTGTGGGTACCAGTGGTGCAATCATTTTATGGATGAGGACACCAAGACCCAGAGAAGTTAAGTTACAGATCCCAAGTCACACAGCTAGTAAGTGCCAAAAACTGAGAATCTAAACCAAATCTCTGACGCTAAAATCTACTCCTAATCCTAAAAAGATGGTCCCCAAAGCTGCAACCCCTCCTTGGCAGTCCCCACATACAAAGACATTAACTCCTCCCCAGCAAGGTCACCTCAAATAGTCCTTTGCCTGGGGTCCTTCCCCAATTCCACAGAATGCATCTACCGCCTGGGGTGTGCCCAGCCCTGGAGAGGCACTGGGATGGAAGAAGTGTAATGGAACCTCTACATGCTGGGCCTTAGGTTAGTACTGCAGTAGGTGCTGCAGCCACCTCATCTCCTAGCTGCTGGTCAGCTGCACTCCTGCAAACTGCACTTGTGTTTGGGGTCCTTGACCTGAAGGAGTCTAACAGGAAGATGGTGATGTTCTCTGCTTGCCCCAGTGCTTCCCAGGCTGCCTGTTGGGGGCTCCAGGAAGGCTCAGGCTGGAGAAGCAGAAAAAGGGGAGTAGAGATGGCACCCAGGAGCTTGTGTTCTTAGGACTCTTCCAAGGCCAGTGTCTCCCCACACCAAGGCGGCATGGTCCTGAAGGGGAGAGGCTTCCTCCTATCCTGTGAACCTCCTGCCTTTCTTGCCCAGCCCACAATGAATAATAAAGGTTTTGTTTTTTTGCAAAGCCTCCCATGTCTCCGCTTATTTGGAGGTCAGTGAAGAAAGTGAGGATCTGGGGACTGGCAGGTGGCATAGTGGTTAGAGCACTGGACTCCCTCATGGCAGACTGCGATTCCAATCCCAGACCTGGCAGCTTGCTTTCACACTCTCCTTCTCTCTTTCTCTTTCTCTGTGTTCTCTCTCTGGTCAAATTGAAGAAGAAGAAAAATAAATAATAAAAAAGAATAAAGTAAGGACTTGCCACTAGTGGGGCCAGTAGGTGGCATGGTGGTTAAGATGCTCAACTCCCTCATAGCCTACTGCAGTTTGAATCTTGGACCTGGCAGCTTGCTTTCCCACTCTTTCTCTCTGTAAGTGCACATCCTCTATAGAAAAATTACACTAAGTAATTATTTTTTAAAAAAGATTCAGTCACTAGCAAAGATAGCTAGCTCATGATGTCTTGAAATGTGTGTAGGGGGTACCCTGAAGAAGCTTCACCAAGCTTTAGAAAGCCCATCTCCTTGATCTTTGCTAGTATTATCTGGTTAAGAAGATGAAGGCCAGAGCTAGTACATGGCATTGTGGTTAAGGCATTGAAATCCCACATAGCTGACCATGGTTCAAGTCCCAGACCCAGTGGCTTGAAAATTACACCAGGCGCATGTGCATGTGTGCCCAAAATCCCAGGAGGAGACTGGAGAAGAAGACTGCCATCTTCCCTGCAAAATCCCTCCTCACTTTTCCTCTGTCTGTCTCTCTTTCTCTCTCCAGAGAGTACATGTGCCCCACAGCAAAAACCTTTAAAAACATTCATCAAATAAACGAAAAAAGAAGAAGTACTTAGCCAGCCAAAGCCTACCTTGCCTTGAGAGTGATAATTATAGGTGCCCTGCCCTGGAAGGGGTGGGGGTGGGGGTCCTGGAAGTGGCGTGGTGGTTAAGAGCGCTGGATTCCCACATGGCCGATTGCGGTTCAAGTCCCGGACCCAGAGGCTTGCTTTCTTGCTTTCCCTCTCTCTCTCTCTCTGTCTCTCTTTGGTCAAAATTTAAAAATGATAATAACGACAAATGGAATTAAATAAATAAGTAAAAAAAAAAAAAAAAAGCCAGCCCCTGAACCTCCCTCAGTGTTTTATTATTTGGCTCTCACAATGACACCATAAGACTAAGTCCCACCTTATAGGCTAGGAAACAGGCGCAGAGGCTAAGAAATATGCAAAAACCACAGCTGAGCAGCAGCAGAGTTGGACTTCAGATCATGTGTGTCTGTGACCAGAATGGAATGCAGGGGATGGACTGTTTCACGTATGTGGTAAAATCACAATCATACTTTTATCACAGCATTCATTTTCACAAGCCCCTAAACCCCAGTTACTAATTAACACTTGCTGTGCCAGGCACTGTTCTAAGGGCTTGTCTTAAGTCATGATTCAGTCCTCAGACATCCCTGTGCATAGCTGGGTCCTATCATTATTTCTATTTAAACAACGAAGAGAGAGAGAGGCTGAGTGTGCAGGTCTGAGGTGCATGTGGGCGGAAATGACAGCGCAGGCATGTCTGTCTGTCCAGCTGCACTTAGCATACTGCCTCCATCAGTGGCAGGCACCCCACCAGCCTGGTCCTGACCCCAAATGAAAAGTTTCTCATTTGTCCCACAGCCTTCTGGGATGCTTTTGGTCACAGGCGGGCCCGAATCACTCACCGGTAGGCGGCGCTGCCCCAGGCACCCGGCTTCGTCTGCGGAGCAGCAGACTGGCGCCCCAGGACACCAGGAGGAGCCAGGACCCCGGGTGGGAGGGAGACGAGTGAGGGGCGGGCGGCACAAAGAGCTTTTTATTCAAATTTGTTTAGAGTTTCGCGAATTTGCATGAAAAATGTGTGAGAAAAGCCAGCTCCGGTGACCTCATCCGCACCTGCCATTAACGTTCAATTAGCCACGCCGCCGCGGCGACGTGCTGAGAATCCGGCGCTGCTAGGGCGGCGGGTCTGGTCGGGATAGGGTGGGAGCCGGGGTGGGGGGCGGGGCGCAGGGCCTACTCTGAGTCGGAGACCCAGGGCCTCGTCTGCACCCCGACTCTTGGAGGGGACCCGAGGACCCACGACCTCCAAGGCAGTTAGGAGCACGCCAAAGCGCTGGGGATGCCCGGCTCCCTCCCGGCGCAGAGGACAGGCTCACCCTCCTCCTGGACGGAAGGTGGACAGACGAGTGCCGTCCCAACTCCGACGGGCTTCCTCGCCACCTTCCGGACAAAGTGTCAAGTACAAGTTCAAGTTCAGGGCCAGGCCCGGGGGCGCCGAGCCTTCCCCGCCGTCTTTGTTCTCTGGAATAATCGCTTCTACGTCTGCTCTCAGGCGGGGCCCAGTAGACACCCCCACCGCCCCGCAGGAGCCACCTCCTCCCGCCCGCGCGGCGCCTGTCCCCGGTCCGGGCGCCCCGCTCAGGGCCACAGAAGGGTCTGAGGGCTCGGGGCGGGGGGAGGCGGGGGGAGGCGTGATCCAAGCCCGTGGGAGTCTCCGTAGCCCCGCAGTCCCAGCGGCAAACTGCGCTAGGTCGGACGGACACCCGCATGGAGGTAAGAGCCCTTGGCGGGGTTCGCCCACACCCCCTGTGCACCCCGGCCCGACTCGGCGACCCTGAGGAGCAGGGTGGAAGGCAGTGTCTGCAAAGAAGCTGGAAGGCTAAGCCATCCCGCTGGGCCTCCAAGGGGTGTGCTACAGCTCTGGGGGTGTATCAGCCTGAGGTGGGGGGACCGGACCGGGCCGGGCGGTGGGTGAAAGGCAAGGACAACCAGTGAAGACCTGGTGAAACCGCCGGCCCTTCCCGAAGGTGTCTGACTCCTGTCCTCTCCTCCCTCAGCCTCCAGGTCTCCACTCCCCTTCCCTTCCCGATGCTCTCAAGGCCCCCAGGCCCCTCCCGGAGAGTTACAGGGGTGTGCTGTGTGGTCAACTGTTACAGGAGTCAGTCATGCCCACTTGCCACCCCTGCCGCCCCCTACCCCCAGCACCTCAATTAAGGCTCTGGGACAAATGGTGGTGGCCAGGGTGGGATGGAGGTGGCTGTGATTAAGGGGCCATACGTATTTTCTCTGTCTGTAGGCCCTCTTGCCGTTCCTGTGTGCCCGCTTCCTGGATTCTGGGTGGGGAAAAATGTTATTGTGCGTTCCCCCAGGCAGCACGCCACTGAACTGGAAGGGCACAGAAGGCTCTTCTGAGTGGCCCAAACCTTGTCCTGACTGTCACTCTTGGGTGCATGGTCGGAGGTCGTTTACATGTGTGTTTTACACATGGTTCTGACACCCTTGGTATTTGGTTTCTAAACTCAGTGCATGTTAGAAGCGGCAAGTTAGAAAGGCAAAGGAAGCTTTTCCCCAGCAGCTGTCTTCGTGCCCTTCTGTGTTCCTCTCTCTGTTCTCTGGGTAGAACCCAGATTTCTCACTGCTGAGATGTTACTTGTGCCGAAGAGTTACTGCCTACCAAAGTACTCTCCTCCCCATCTCCGCTAAGCTGAACTTTGGCAAGTCCTCCTCTAGGAGGCCTGCCCAGATTCCCCCATCTCTCCCTCTTTTTGACACCTTCAAGGAGCGGATCAGCTGTACTGGCAAATGCTTGGTCAAGAGGGAATCAAGAAATGCAACAGTTTCTGGATGAATGAATTTAAAAAATCAGACACATGAATAAGTTTAGAATAAAAGCAAGAGGACTGAGTTCGGTTCATTTATAATACGGCCTTGAGCTTAAGATAATGGCTCTCAGGGCTCCTCCCCCTTCATATAAGGTCTCATTCACAAGCCAGAACCAGCCAGAGAAGGCTGGTCCCAAAGGCTCTGCTAAAAAGAAAGGAGAGGGGCCAGCAGGTGGCACAGTGGTTAAAGTGCTAGATTCCCGCATGACCAACCACGGTTTGAATCCATACCCAGCAGCTTGAAAATTACCCTGGGCATGTGTGTGTTTGTGCCCAAAATCTCCTCAGAATGGAGGAGAAGGGATCTTGTGTGGCCACCCCCACCCCCCACCCCTGTGATTTCTCACTTTCCCTCTCACTGTCTCCCTCTGGCAAGCACATGTGCCCTATGGCAAAAACCTAAGGAAAGGAAGGAAGGAAGGAAGGAAGAGAGAGAGAGAGAGAGGGAGAGGGAGAGGGAGAGGGAGGAAACATATGCAAATTGCTTTAATTTTTTAAAAATAAAATGTCTGAAGGGACCCCCTTAGCCTCTGTACAGTTCTGTTCTCCATCTCACTGAGTCTCCAGAGGGCCCTGGAGGAATTGACATTTCCTGAACTGTATGAGACTAGGGACCCTCCTCGCAAACCCTCAGTGGGGCCATGAGGAACTTAACTAAAAATGGAGAAAATGGAGACTGTGACCTACCTAGTGCATGTGTGTAGGCTCCAGATGATTCATCACTGACACGCTGATGTCAGAGGAGCCTGGGAAGATGCTTACATCTTTTTAAAAAGGGAAACCAAGACATTTTCCTACAAAACCACCTTAGAGGCTGCTCAAGACTCTTCCTCATGGGAACTTCTGGCCAGAGCTGTAATCTGATTCTCCCTGGGCCATTGTGACATCTTGAACAAATCATTCTTTTTCTTCCATGGTTTTACAACTCTTGAGTGAATAAATCAAGGATATTTAAGGCAGCCAGTTTGCAAAGGGTTGTATAAATACCACTTTGCAGTGGACTCAGAATAACAATTTGTTACTTCTATATATCAACTCATTTAGTCCTCCCAGAACTAAAGAAGATGGTTCTCCTTAATAGCCCCATTTTATAAAAGAGGGAACAGGTAGGGGCTGGCAAGTAGCATGGTGATGGGGTGCTAGGCTCCCACATAGCCAACTGCAGTTTGAATCCTGGACCTGGCTGCTCTCTTTCCCCCGGACCTGGTAGCTTTCTTTCTCACTTTCCCCCTCTCTTCCATCAAACTAAAATAATAATAACAAATATAATTAGGTGTGATGGTTAAGATGCTGGACTTCCACATGGCCACCAACCATGGTTCAAGTCCTGGACCTAGGTGGCTTGCTTTCTCACCCCTCTCCTTTCTCTCTCTGGTCAAATTTTAACATAATTGAATCAATTAAATTAAATTATTATTTTTAAAAAATGGAATTA